TTGTTGGTTTCAGTGAAACGCCTTCCAATGCAAAAAGTGTTGTGCGAGTCGGTGGACCTAGCACCCAAGGGAAGCATATTCTCGTAACGAGTGGTATAGGTGTGGGGTGCGCATACATTTGGTGAACCTACTTCTCACCTGTTAGGCATACTCAAGTTGAGATCGTGGAATGAACTCAGGAGTACGTGGTTGTATGTATAGAAACCTACTGAAGCTTCTCTCCCAGTGATGCCTTTTTAGCTATCGACTGCTAATGCGTTTGTGTTTATAATCTTGGCTACAGCGAGTATATGGCGCGTCCCTAGGGCCATTCTGTCTACAGTTTTATATATGCCTTGGCCTCTTGACGGTACTATTTTTGTTGTATTTGCCTATGCGTTATATGTGGTTCCGTTTACTGTGTGTTTCACTTTGTTACTTTGTGTGCCTGCTCCGATGTGTTCTTAGTAACGAGGACAGCATAACGTGAAAAAGGAACCACTTTTGTGGAGCTATTATTAATATTGTAAGGTTGCTCGTTATCAGCTCTGCGTAGTTTACTAGTTTGCGTGTCGAAGATCGTAGGAATGTCTCGGTTCTTCTCGAGTGATTCCTTTTGTTGATGAGTTTGGTAGCAGTTCAGGTTCTGTTGAATTTTCGTCATTCTCCGTGATTTCTAGTGGCACGATGAGATTTACTAGGCGCTTAATCCGTCGTATCGTTGCTGTTATCAATCCCGCTTCTCGGCTTTGTCCATCTTTACCATTGTGCAGATTGGTTATGCGGGCTATTTTCCAAGCGGTAAGAGGTAGACCGGGTCGCTTAGAAGCACAACTGTCCCGACTTTCGGTTCTATTTGATGATATCGCTGTTTTTCTATGAGTCGCTTCTGCGTTTCTCGAAGGCTGGTGAGGTAATGTTTCTGCCACACATCCAAATAGCGTTCTGTGAATTCACAGGAGGACTTCAGGGCTTCTTCTGCTTGTCTCCTTGTGCTGGACGCTATTCCTTTCCCAGAAGATATGTAGTCTGGGTCACTCATTGAATCTTGTTTAGGACTACGATAGGTAAACGCGAGATTCAAATCTCGTTGGATAAAGTTGATTGGACGAATGGAACTGAAGTTATCGTGGCCGGAACCTTGGTATGTAAGCGGTCGTGAATTGAGGCATGCCTCTATTTCCGCCAATATGGTTTCTAGGTCGTCTACTGATCTATGTGACTTCAATCTTAGCGATTTGTACAGTGCGTGTTTGATGGACTTGGTAAGGCGCTCATAAAATCCGCCTTGCCATGGTGCATAAGGCGTATTCCAGTACCACACAATTTCGTGTTGCGAGGTGACATTTAGCAATTCTGCGTTAAGCTGTGTTTGGCCAGAATCTCTATGCTTAGTAAAAATCCAGGAGCGTTGTCACCGGTTATTGAACTGGGAACACCCCTGCAAGCAATAAAGTGTCTGAGTACGTTTAGGAAATCTTCAATTGCCATACTTTTTACCAACTCGAAATGAATTTATCCTGTCACAGTGCATGTAAAATGCAATGTAAATGTAAATGCATCCGTATATTTTCAACTTCGTTTCATCTTCTTCTATCGTGGGTAAGTCGAAGAAGAAGTCGATGCCTACGCGTTGGAAAGCGCGACTTCGATTTGCACGCCTCTGCGGTAAATCTGTTGTCTCTGGGTAAGCGTATGGCCGACGTCATAGTTTGCGAATCGAGCGATTCGCTAGCAAATCGCTTGATTCGCAAACTATGACATCGGCCTATGGAAGGCCATTAAATCTGCGGCATCCGACACAGTGTTTTACCGTATGACGAAGTTGCTGCTTCAGTTTTGATCCAGTACTGTAGTCGAACTGTTGCTATCGTGTGTTTGATGCTTAGGTGGTAATTCCCGTGTCCTTAGTTAATAATTAAAGTGGCTAGCGGAGTTTTTGGATGGATGAAAATTGGATTCTTTGCTAGTAGGCTCAATGCAGAATTTCCTACCCTGCCTCTCAAGCTCCAAGTTCTTTTATCATTTATGAAAAGTCGTAGCGTATTTTTTACGCTTTTGCAGTATTGATTAGTATCGTATACTGTCTGATGATTTCGGATGATTATGCGCTTAGCAGCTCCAATGGCCTTTCCGCCAAGAGTGCTCAGTGAGTCGGCGGCATTTCGGTGTTCTGTGATGTTGTCAGAAATAGCACTTTGGCGAGTAATATAATAGGTAGTGGTTTCATCAACTTCTTGAGAAACAGCAGCGTTAACGCTGCTACTCTTTTTGCTTTTTGAAATGAGCTGAACCTCTTCAGATCTAATAAAAGGCCACTGCGATGAGTTTTATATGCACGGCTGCTGCGGTGATAGCTTCTAGTCTGGCAATGTTTCTTCTATGTCTTCTATTCCTCTATAGGAAAGCACAAATATTCGGGCCCTTTCCACCATATGTGCTCTGATATTTGTTCTTTCGTCAAACCCCGAGTCCCTGCGTCGGCAGGGTTTTCGGATGTCTCTACAAAATGGAAATGAACTGAGACTGATGCGCTGTTCAGGGTTCTCACAATATTGCATATTTCCTTAACTCGGTTACACATTAGTACCCCAACATTTGTGCTGCATGGTGGTGTAGATAACCGTGACAAAGAAGTTTGGGAGTCTGAGAAGACATAGATGTTGAAGGGCCTGTGAGCTAGGTTACCGTCGAGCGCTTCAAATATGGAGCGCGCCAAATTACAGCGATGGTTACTGCGTTCATTTCCATTTTTGGATTTGTGGGATTTGAGTGCAAAGACGGTGATTTACATTTTGCCATAACTAATGTTGAGCTTTTTCTTCTGAGAAGGTAAGCGCATGCGGACATAGCAATGGTGCTCGCATCTGCGAAGATTGCCAGACTGCTTCGATCACCATCGTTCATGGATCTTCTCTCAAAAGACCTTTCAAAGCCATGAACGTTGGATGAAGAGTGCGGAAATCGTTTCAGTTGCGTAAGTAATGGCACCATCCACCCAAAGGGGTCATATATGGAGGCTATTTGTCGCGTCACTATGCGCTTTGTTAAGTTGATTGTATTGGGAATATCACAGCGGATGGAGAGAGTATCGTGTTTACTATTTCATTTGATACCTAGTATTTTCTGAAGTGCAGATTGCGCATGCGTCATCTGACAAGACTGTAGTGATGTCAGTGTTATTGAGGGGGGGAGGGGGGAATTCTCGTAGGTTCATGTTCATTTCGGCGAAAATTTCTCTAGCCTTCACTGATTTCGCATTGCGTCATCTTTTGTGTTTGCAGTCAGTATAAGATTGTATACATGCAAATTCTCGCGAATCTCATTTCCGAGTTTGGTATCAATTACCGTACTGCGTAAGTAGTATTGTATGGTCGCTCCCAGCAGGAAGGGGATACGTTGAGTCCGGAGGTGACTCTTGTGAAGCGATACGTAATGGCACTATCTCCTTCGGGTTCCCTGCTGTAATCCCGGACCCAGAAAAACCTCCTTGTTACGTCCCTATCTTTTCGTGTACTCGGACTTGGAGGAATGCCGTTCGAAGTTACCACGTAATTTGACACTCGAAAGCGCAAAAGCACTGCGTAAAGGTCGGGAAGAATCAATGGTCCCTGATGAAGGACGTCATTGAGAGATGGTCGAAATTTGAAGTGGGATGAAGCATCGAATACTATGCGTAGCTTCGTAGTCTCGTTGTTCGGTGTGATTACTGGTTGATGTGGGATATAATGGGTGATACCCATTTCGTAACAATCCTCTTCTGAGATCTCTTTAATAATTTCTTTCTCCACATGAGTTTTGAAGTTGTTGTCATAGTCTGCCAAAATTCATGGTTGAGACCTGAGCATGCTTATTACACTATGAAGGCGTTTCATTGCGATAGCTTTATTAGTCGGCAGTGGGGAGTGATTTTCCTTGAAGGGTAAGCGTACGTAGGACCCATCACCTCTTTTTTTCAATTGTATCAGAGAAGAATCTTGATACCTTCTCGTTAGTTGCCGTTTTTTCGGCGCCTTTCGTGCCTCTGAAGCCATATATTCCTGCTGAGTCTATTGCATAATACTTATCCCAGCGTTGGAGATCCCTTTCTTCTTCTATTAAAGTTTAAAACATTGTGATCATGCTGGGTTGTGCGTGAGTTGTATGAACTGCGCGAAGCCCATTTAATTTTGTTCCCCGAGAGAAGGTACCCCAGTTTCAATGGTATAAGTCTCAAACCCGGCGGAAGTGTATAGTGCTGTCCAGAGACTTCTAATAAGTCCCAAAGTTGATCGTAACCTAAAAGTATTTGCGGTTTAGTTGTTGTGGCTGTCATGTTGTGAGAAAGGCGAATACCTCTGTGCGCTATGAAGTTAATGTCTTCTTGATTTAATTGTGTAACTTGACTCTTTTCGGTTAGAATTGGCGTTGAATACAGGCGCAGGTTATGCACCCCTCCGTTGTTGTCACACAATTTTATCGACGTCACAGCGCATTTTGCCGATTTTGGCCCTTTCGTTTCGAAAGCATACACTTCTAAGTTGCGTACTTCTACACCTTCTAGTCTCAAGTGTTCTGTTAAATTCTGACTAATGAAGAATTGATCTTCTCCCGTGTCAAAGAGAATTTGGACCGATTGCCATTCTTGGCGTTTTGTGTTCCATATTTGCGCCACCCCGGTCAGTAGGAGTACATTTTCTCTTCGCGTGCTTTGATGTAGTACCGTAAGGTTACGATCATTGTCAGCCTGCTACGTATTTTTTCTTGCTCATTTGTTGTACGAATTTGGGTTGGGTGCGCGAATTCCGATTGTTTTTCGCTGTGGGGTTATGTTGTGATTTGGGCCCTATCGTTTTTGTTGTTACTGGTGAGGTTGTCGGTGTTATGATCGCAAAATGTTTTGTTTGTGTAACCATAGCTTGTCTTCGTTGACATAATGCGTGAAAAAGCTTTTTTCCTTGACAGTTTCTACATCCTTCTTTTGTGTAATTTGATGCAAAATGACCTTCGCGTCCACAATTGAGGCGCATACCGTGCTCTTGTCAAAAATTCCGCCTTTCTGTGATAGTGCAGTAACGTGAACAACTTGCGGTTCTATGTTCCGGCGACCCACAGAACATGCAGTTCTGGCTGTACGATATTTTGCTCATGCATCCCTTTTTGAAACCCTCCCTGCATTCTGTGTCCCTATGCAAAATCACTAACCATGCTGCTGACGCGCTCTTCCGTCGCTATGTGAGCGTCTAAGGCATCAACAATGCTTTGCACCATCCATGCATTTTCCGGCATGTCTAGCGTCACGAAGTCCTCAAGGACCTTGCGTTGAATTCTCGATGCAAACTTGGGTAGTAATTTTTGAGCATTGCATGAACCATCTAGGTTCACTTCCACTTTGTGTAGCTGCATCATCAGTGGAATTATGTATTCCGGCAGCTTTTTTTGCGCTTGCGTCGAAGGTTTTTCTGACCTCGCATTATCTAAGCGTTTTTGCAGCACTCTCACAAGCTCCGTTTTGTTGCGTACTTTTTTCTTCATAAAGTCAATAGCCAGCACATAGTTTTCCTCTATGACTGGATAACGCTTCACCAGGTACTCCCTGTAATTAAATTTCTGTAGACTAGTGAGCAAGTGTTAATTGTGGACGTTGTCTTGAAGGAGCGCCCAAAAGTTGTCGTAGTCCCATTTCCATCGAATGTGGGTATGGGTATTGAGGGGAGCTTGGACGCTGTGGTTTCGTGTTGCTATTCCTCGCCCCTGTATCTTTGCGCGGGAGTTCTATCATTATGGATTACCTCCCGTACACTCATGTGTTTCGCTTCAAGTTCGATAGCCAATCGATCAGCGCCATCAATAGCGATATGTGAATTTTCTCTGTGTTCAAGAGCTTGATCTTGTTATTCTTTGGTGAGCGAATCGAACAGCGAGTCGATTGTACTCGCAAATGTCGCTAGATGGTTGCTAAGTAATTGTGTTCTAGCTTTAAGCTCATACACAACTGATGCTATGCGCTCAAAATCGTCACTACTGGAACTTGAAGAAAGCATCTTCAAGGTGTTTTCCCCCTCGCACCTAGCAATTATTTCATCCAAATTGTTACAATAGCGGGTGAGGAGCCCTTTTTGCGAGCGAAGCCTAATGGGTGCAGAGCTCGCAGCCATTTTTTTCCTATTTTATCAAGTGCTTTTGAAAAAAAAACTTATGCGGTTTGAATTATGAACCAACCTTTCCTTGTCTCGTTTGGTCGATGCACCAATAAAATAACTGTCTTGCGAAATTGCCACGCGGCGTTGAATAGATAATCTAACGATCAAAACAAGAATAGATTATATAATATGACAATAATTGCAACAAATGAATTTATGCTGAGTCAATGACTGCAACAAAACTTATTATGGCTGGAAGTCTTATGCGTGATAAGAAACAAAAAGACGACACACAAAGGTTTGGCCGAAATCGGGAGCGATTGCAACCGGTAATCGAAGGAGAAGAAGTCAAGGGAGCTAAGCCAAATGACGCGGAGGAAAGCGAAGGCAAGTCTAGCGTAGTGTAGTCCAGAGTAGTGGGACGAAGTCCAGGTAGTGGAGTGAAGAAGAAGAAGTGCCCCCCGTCGAGCGCCCGGGGTTTATATACCCTTCCCCGAGGTCAGGGTACAAAAATCAAAACTTTGAGTCAATAGAACAACGTGTTCATGTTTTTGCGGTCTTACGTAGTGTTGCAAAGGTTCAAAAGTTCATTATTGAACGAAATATTGTTGTTGATATATTGACCAGCGCAGCGCACAGTCATTAAATTAGTGAGTGACCCCACATTGTGATCGTAATTGTAACGAAGGTGCAATAGAAGCTATGCACTGTGTCGGCTTGGCATTGGAAATTCCGGGTGTCTCGTCGTCTTGATGTTCCTCTATCATTAGCGCAAAGATCGTTGGGGCAGCTCGTGCGCCGTTGATGAGTTTCTGAGCTGTTTCTAAATTCATTGAAATCTTCTGAAGTACCTCATTGATCGACAGAGTTTTGATCGAGTTTATCGGCTGTCATGAAGTAGTTGTTCAGAGCTACCTCCACGTTATGCGATTCCGATTCTGTCGTCGTTTTGGCTGAGCGGAGTTGTTGACGGAAGCTTATTCCGTCATCATCCGTTTAGCGCTGCGCCGTCGATGCACGTTCTGGTGTTTGATCCCTCAGAAAGGTTGAGAGACTGTTGGAAACGCTGGTGATAAATCCTTAACGAAAAGACGTAGAAACCACGACGTAAAGAGTTCATTTCTAGCAAGGAATAGAGAAATGTGAACACATGTAAAAACAGCAAGCCAATGTGATGATGAAGCGAATGGACTGTTATGTGCAGAACTTAAAAGTTCTCACTTCCGATCGGATTCCTTGTCCTTTGGCTTGATCGAACGATGCGCCCAAAACGGGATTCGTTGGAGTGACTGCTCGTCTATCGTACCGCGGTCCTTTCCTACGCACTACGTCTTGATACACAATCTTCATTGCATATACAATCCACGGGCAAATGAAGAGAGAGTGGTGAGTGGTGTGATCTGGAGGCAATTAAAATGGCTAACTGAAACCTAAGAGCCGCTGGCCGCTATTTACACAGGAGCTCACAGATAAGGCGGGTTGTGCTCCGAACTTAAACATTTGTCCTTCCGAGCTACAGATTGGCGAGCTGTTAACGTTAAGAACGGTTACAAATGGATCGTGTGAGATGAACAAAAACTGAGAGATCACAGATTCTCTTCGCAAGCTTCGACTCGCTGAAATGCCTGATGCAACCGTATTGATCGAATTATACAATTATTCTAGTTACGCATGAAGTTTTTATGTGTAGGATTTCCTTTACAAAAATGTGGTTTCGTGTGCATAAGCTGTCTGTTACTATATTCATAAAGTACCCTGTATGAAGAAACAGCGTAACCATTTCACTATTTCTCAAAGCTCAAGCAATGTTTGCTCGAAATTGGAAGCCGTTTTCCAACTCTCATCTCCTTCCATACGACATTTTTCAGCACAAACGATTGCTGCTTGGTCCGTACTAGTGGTATTACTGGCCTTGCTTGGCATTTCGTCATTTTCGTGGTGGGTGATCTACAACACTTATCGAATTTACGCTTCACGTGATCGGATCGAACACAATGGATACTGCCAAGGAGTGCCTACTACCGAACGACTATGAATTTCATAACTATATTGATCGATTTATCATAAACTTTATCGGATGTTCCGCTGTGGCGCTACTGTGTTCTTTTCTTGTATCCTTAGAATAATGGCAGTCTTTGAAGAGTCCACACCATGATGAAATGATGGCACGCAGCCAACCAGGAAAGGAAGAAATTGGTAGCTGGTGCGAATCACCCACAATTTACCTACCCGTTCAATCACCCTAATTTCCTGTAGATAAATCTGTGCCGATATCACGTAAACACCTCTGGCATTAACGTTGTTCAACGCATATTTCTCGGTTGGAGAGCACAGATGAGCGGAAAATAGGTGCCGAGAATGGATGTAATATTCATAATCAGGACACCAAGTAGCCCCTATACGGAAGCTTACACCAAATTTGGTGAAAGCAGGTGTCGTGAAAAGGTGGCACCAGATAGCGCCACCACTAAAATTGAAAGCTATTCTCGTAATCAGCGCATGGAGCTACCTCTATAGACAAATTTACTTAAGTTTCCAAGGTGCACAAAATTACACTGCACGAGCAGAGGTGTTTTCACGTGGTACCGGCGCGAGCTTATATACCGGAATGCATCGCCTGAAACTGAAGATAGCGTTCCATGATCATAGTGATGCCTCAAACATCTTTACCCGAATGTAATTTTTGTGAAAAGAAATATTGTCCAACTGCCGGAACTTTTTCTTCTATGGATTTTCTGTTCGTTTAGGTGGGATATAACACATAATTCCTTAGTGGGACGGGTTTTGGGAAGAAGTCACATACTACCAGCTGATTGTTATGCTGACGAGAGCTTAACGCCATTACATCTCTGAATCATCTGAAGAATGATTTTCTCAACTCTCATACATAGCCGTACATTTTCGCTGCTGTCACTGCACGTAGATAAACTGACAATCTAATCTGATCGGTTGTATGCGGGTCCGCTCGCGAAATTTTCCAATTTTTTTTCCAAAAATTTTGTATTCTTCTTCCTAGCATTAGTCCCGCGCAGTTGCAGGGTCCGCTGTTTTTGTCAGCCGTCACCTATTTTTCGATCAAGGTCATCTTTTGCCGTAGGCGTAATTTCATTCAGACCCATCTTGATTGCTTTTCTTTCCTCTTCTCTGAGGCTCCTCGCGGTCGCTTGCTATGCAATTTGAAGTCCATGCTTTTCTTGGCTGTTTCCGTACCATTGCTGACGCTGTTCCGCAACTTCAATTTGACAGCAGCAGTTTGCATGATTGCCTTGACATTCTCGTCTTTGTCCTGCCCAGTCCGGTTCGGCCGCACTCCCATCTCACCATCCTCCTCACCGGCTCTTGTGACTCGTTCCATTTGAACCATGCCGCGTTGATCCGCCTTTACTTCCTTGCCCACACTAACGCTGGTGGCTGAATCGCTCCCAAAGTTTCGGAAGTCCTCAATTCTTTCGATGGTTTCTCCATGGCCATCCACGGTTGCTCTGCTGCCTCTTCAGGATCAGGAATGGTCTTCAGTTCAAGGATGGGGGCAATCACATCTACACATGATTCGATCGTTGGCCCTATTCACAGCCGAGGCGTGTCCTTAAAGCAACTCTGCTAGCTGTGGCCATGTTATCGGCTTGATGGCTGGTGTCGTGGTTCTCTGCGCAGTAGAGCATGATAATCTCCGCAACTTTCCTAGCCGTACTCCCTTCCATGGTGTCTCATGGAGGCATAGGACTTGGATTTTTTGCGCGGCACCATATCAGCTACCTCTCGGGACTTCCCAGTTGGCGATGGTGCGTTTAGAATCCCTATTTGGCAACAGCTTGCAGAATACTCAAACAATCATTTGTCAGGTTTCAGGTTGCCTCTTAATATTGATAATTTTTTGACACTTCTGTAACCAGCATCATGCTTGATGACATGCCATTGCTAGAGAGCGCTTAAATCCTATTATTTCAGGATCAGTGGAGCTGGGGGTTTTTAAGACCTTGAAGCGGTAGTTTTCGTACCCTTTCTTCCATCTCGAAGCTGGTGCTTCAGGGTGCCATGAAGACTGATAGCAATGCTAGAGCATACGGTGGATGCAGATTGTGGTTATGCTCGTTGCCTAGAACCTGTAGAGTTGGCTCCGCAGTTTGAGGTCATTTATTTGGAGAAAGGCAATTCTGAGACGTTTTGGACGCTTATCTCGCACTGCTCCAGAGAATCTAAGGCTCGGTTTACCCATGCATGTAAAGCACAATAAAGTGGTTCTCAAAACTGGATGCCCAGCAATTCCAGCATACTGGGAGTAGCATCCTATGAACCAGTAGTAAACACATTCCCATGAACACGACTTGAGCTGAGCTGATGAGTCATAGCTGCGAGTATCCATGTACAAGAAGGGTAAAAATACGCTAACAAGAGGTTGCCACTGTCAATTTCCAATTTTTGTTCTCATAATTCAGTGTACCATCTTTGATTCCGTACTTGGAGTATGTATATCAACTTTGGAATAAACGATTTCGCACTCTTCGAGAAACAATCACTACTTTACTTCGACGAGCTCTTTGATAGTCTTACATTGCATGACGATTCAGAAGCCATTTGAAACTATAACTTTTAATGGGCTATTCACTAGCATCAATAGGCCTGGGCTGAAAGAATTGTGCGACTTCACGAGAAATATCTAGAAGATACATGCGAAGAAGGGCTGAAAGCCAGCTCACTCAGTCCGTCGCTGTTCGCTCAAACTGCTACTTTCTTGCAATGCATTGTTTGCGCAAGTCTTAACAAAAAATTCACAAAATGAAATGCCTCACTTCTAACCAATGCGTGTGAATTTAATGGAAAACAAAGATGCTAAAAGACATTGTCTCGAATTCGTAATGTGCTTCATTAATCAGTCGTTTTCCTTGATGAGAAGACATTCCGTTGTCGGGCCAGTATCGAATGTGAATGGCAATTGGACCGATGCTAGTGAAAAGCCAACCAGCCATTCAATGATGGTTTTCGCAGAAATCATAAGAGCAGTGCTCACGACACGA